TTTACAAAGTCTGTAGTCTTTTTCTGCCAAAAAAAATGCTTGTGCCTCACCAAACTACAATTCCCAGCTCTATTCATCTTCTGAGACCATTCTTTCAGTACTTTTGCAAAAAGAGGTGCAACGGGTGGTCAATAGTGAGAAGGATCTTTCATTATATACACTTTATTTCATTATATACCTTCTCCCCTAGGAGACTTAGAGCGGATTACAGCATTTACATACATAGGCAAACATTCAGTGCTTTTACAATCATATATAATGAGACACACAAACACAAACAAAGGCAGAGGCTTCTCCTTTCATTTCCAACTTCTGGGAGCAGTGGCTCTGGGGAGGTGCTTTCTCCATTTTCAAGCCAAGGAGCCTCCTGGTTGCTTAGCTGGCAAGATTGCTTGGACTGTCCCTTTGCCTTTTCCCGCCTAAGCGGTACCTTTGCATGTTTTCAAACTGCTAGGTTGGCAGGAGCTTGAGCTGACAGACAGGAGCTCACCCCTTCTCATGGATTCGAACTGCCAACCTTCAGGACAGCAGTTCAACAGCACAAGGGTTTAACCCAGGGGTCCCCAAACTTTTTAAACAGGGGGCCAGATTACTGTCCCTCAGACCGTTGGAGGGCCGGATTATAGTTTTTTTAAAAAACGATGACCAAATTCCTATGCACACTGCACATATCTTATTTTGCTACTGTTATGAATCGTAATGTAAATATCTGATATGCAGGATGTATTTTTATTGTTACAATCTGAATATAATGCATAGTGATTAATCGCAAAAAATATGTAATTATACATTGTGAAATATTTATTTTAATTACAAATAAATGAAATTTTGATTTCAAGCATGTCACAGTCTTAATATAACAGCAGGGAATCCATGAATATGTTTACTGATCAGCCTATCGGCCAAACTCCCATCACCAACAGAAAATACTGGAGAGGCTTGAGGAAAATAGACTTTGGCATTTGGGAGTTGCTGGGATGAATAGTTCCCCTGCCAACCAAGAGCATTCTGAACTCCAACAGTGAAATTGAACCAAATTCAACTTACAGTGAGAACAAACCTACATAACTTGTTTGTAACTTGGGGACTGCCAGTACAAGTTGGGTCACAGGGGTAACAGATACTACTGTACAGAAGAATAATACCTGGCAAAGTCAATGAAAGATGAAATGTCTCTGATCTTGAATGCTAAGCAGGGCCAGTTCTGGTTAGTATTTGGATGGGAAGCCACAAATGAATAGCAGGTGTTATATTTCAGAGAAAGAAACTGACAAAACTATTTTTGAGTATTACCATAAATAAAAGGAGACCTGTACACACACCCAACCATGGGCTGCTGAAAGCAATATAGGAATACATAGAAAAAGATAGTTTTAGCATTTCTGAAGATAAAATAGTTCCAATGAAAATGAAGAAAAAAATCTATTTTCTGTCATTTTGAAAGTGGTTTTTGGGTAAGCATGAGTCCCCTTTCGGGGGGAGAAGGGCGGGGTATAAATATAGGAAATAAATAAATAAATAAAATTCATTTCAAAGTTTAAAAGGGGCTGCACGAGGCAGGTAAGGGATGGAAAAACAGGGATGGGAGGAACAGGGCGAGGGGAAGGCAAACTGGACTCTCCCACCGGCTTCTCACTCCATCACATTTTGCTGGACTTTTGCAGGACGGCTTCCTTTTAACCCTTTCTTCTCTGACTCTCCCCCCCCCCCCCCCCCCCCGCGCGTTCTGCTTTGGCGCCTTTTCCTTCCCGCCATGTTGAGCGAGGGACTTTGCGCAAGGCCAGGCCAGCCTGTGCGGGCTGGAGAAATGCCCTCGGCGGGCCGCATGTGGCCCGCGGGCCTTAGTTTGAGGACCCCTGGTTTAACCCATTGTGCCACCACGACCCACAGTTGCATAAGGCCTTCTTTGGAGAGGCCCAATTCATATCTGTATTGGGAAAGGGAGGATCTTGGCAAGTAAAGATATTTTTATCTTGTAAGCCTTTATTATGTTAACCATTTTTGCGCCTTTAAAATATACAATGGCAATGTTATTCTCTGCAGTGCTGATGTTATTCAATGCTATTTTTATCTTACTCTCAGTTGTATTTTCAAGCTGGGTTTTTGTGTGTTATGGCATAATTTTTGATTTTGTAACTCTTCCTGAGAATGTTTGTAGCCGTAGGATCAAAAATAGACTGGAGCCACGTTTAGTCAGAGCTGAATCGCTTTCTCAAAGTTAGTTATTATAATCCATAATAAATAAATATAGACACACACCAATGCTCTCATGTGCCTTTGCCAAGGTTAGCAACTACTGTTGATAAAGTGCTTTTTAAAACAACTGTTTTGCTTCAGGGGAAAATGAATAAGCTATTACCCATTCTCGTTTCCATAAAATCATTAGAACAGTGAAAAATAACATGTAACAAGGACCCAAGCATACACTTGAGAGCAATCTGAAGGAAAACTTTCTCATTTATTTGGGAGTGCCTGAAGGTATTTCCATTCTCTATGATGCTATTTCTCTGTTTTAGGGGCTCATAATGTGTATCATATAGATGAGTGGCTCTGTCTTTAATGTCAGATTTGTGTCATTTCTGAACAGGTTTTCGAAAAGTGGACTGTGGCGTTTTTAAGAGGAAAAAAAACTGATGCTCTTAATCCTTTTAAACGAGGGTGTGAAATTCCCTTTAGGTCAAGAACTGCATAAGGACAAGAAGGGACTGCATACGGATGTGTGCACATGAGCAACTGCTAACCAAAACAGACCCTGATGAGCTTCCCAGATCACATGGGATCTGGTGCCTTCAGCGTATTTACTATTAGACTTGTGTGAGGGGACTGATCTGTTTTTGGGAGGACAGATATCTGTTTTTGCTCTGGGGTGCCAAAAGTTTCATTTTCTATTTGGCTCATTATTGGGGGAAGGGAGTCCCAGTCTCCCCTTTCCCATCATTTTAAGCATTTAAGCTGTTTCTGCTTGGATACTGGACCAGTGCCTGGCCGCTGTGATGATCTGGATGAGGACGAACAAGCTGAGCATCAATCAATTTATGTATTTACTGTGTTGTTGCTTGTGTTTTTGTTGTAATTTGCTGTTTGGACTTGGCCTCATGTAAACCGCCCCGAGTCCCTGTTGGGGGAGATGGTGACGGGGTATAAATAAAGATTATTATTATTATTATTATTATTATTATTACTCTAGAGGAGAAGTGCTGCAGGCTGGTGCTCGAGCTTTCTTGCCCAGGCCTGCACCACACCACACACTCTTTCCAAGGAGGCTTCTTGAATCTATTTCAACTCTAGAGGAGAGACCCTGTAGGCAGGTACGCACACCTTAAGGAGGCTCCTTACCTGTTTCTGTTCTAGAGGAGAGGCACTGCAGGCAGGCACGTGTGCTTTAAGGAGGGTTTAAAGCTGTTTCTACTCTAGAGGAAAAGTGCTGCAGGCTGGCGCGTGAACTTTCTTGCCCGGGCCTGCACCACACCACACACTCTTCCCAAGGAAGCTTCTTGAATCTATTTCAACTCTAGAGGAGAGGTGCTGTAGGCAGGTTTGCACACTTTAAGGAGGCTTCTTACCTGTTTCTATTCTAGAGGAGAGGCACTGCAGGCAGGCATGTGTGCTTTAAGGAGGGTTTAAAGCTGTTTCTACTCTAGAGGAGAAATGCTGCAGGCTGGCGTGTGAGCTTTCTTGTCCAGGCCTGCACCACACCACACACTTCCCAAGGAGGCTTCTTAAATCTATTTCAACTCTAGAGGAGAGGTGCTGTAGGCAGGTGCACACACTTTAAGGAGGTTCCTTACCTGTTTCTGTTCTAGAGGAGAGGCACTGCAGGCAGGTATGTGTGTTTTAAGGAGGGTTTAAAGCTGTTTCTACTCTAGAGGAGAGGCACTGTAGGCAGGTATGCACATTTTAGGGAGGCTTTAAAGCTGCTTCTATTCTGGAGGAGGAGAGGTGATGCAGGCAGGTGCGCACGCTTTCTCTCCCAGGCCTTCACCATGCTGTGCACTCTTTCCAAGTCATTTAAGGAGGCTTCCCCACTTCCAGGTAAGGAAGAGTGATAACCTCCTGGAGCTATCCTTCCTGGGCTTCCTTTAAAAAAACTCATTTTTCCTGGCACACTTCAGTCTCCTTTCTGCTTTGGTTTTAATGCTTCCTTACAGCTGTTTCTATCCTCTACTCTAGAGGAGGGGTAACTGGTACTAGTTTTTAGGGAATAATGGTTTCCTTTTTATTTTCTGGGATTAATAAAAATATTAATATTATTATTTTTTATTATTAATATAATAAAAATATAAAAATAAACTGTAATGTCCCCGGTGGCGCAGTGGGTTAAAGCACTGAGCTGCTGAGCAGGTTGATCGAAAGGTCGCAGGTTCGATTCCGGGGAGCGGCGTGAGCTTCCGCTGTCAGCCCTAGCTTCTGCCAACCTAGCAGTTCGAAAACATGCAAATGTGAGTAGATCAATAGGTACCGCTCCGGCGGGAAGGTAACAGCGCTCCATGCATTCATGCCGGCCACATGACCTTGGAGTTGTCTACAGACAACGCTGGCTCTTCGGCTTAGAAATGGAGATGAGCGCCACACCCCAGAGTCAGACATGACTGGACTTAATGTCAGGGGACTACCTTTACCTTTACCTTAATGTCGAAAAGCAGAGAAGGAGCCAAGATCAGCTCCCACTTGTTTTCGTTTAGGGTGGGTTTTTTTACAGATCTGTGCACAAGTCTGTTTACTATCGCTGTAAGTTCCAGACTTATAATCATCTTCCTTAAGACATGTCATTTTCTCTCTTAATATCTATGTGCCTGCCACAGTGGTCATGAATCATGCTTTTCATTTTAGAACAACGATCATGCCTCATCTATGGTTTCTGAAACCCTATGTTGTCATACCCAACAAAACTTTGCCACCACCCTGCGAGGTAGTTTTGAAACCACTCCTATCTGTCTCTCTTACACACACATTACATGAGCAATTGATAAAACCTATGTCTTGCTTTGTTTCTGCCACAGGTCACTCAGATCGACCACAAGCTGAATGACATCCTGAATGCTCTTCAGATTCAATTTGACAAGCAGTCATCAGAATGGGCATCTCCTTCAACCACTCCAAGAGCCAGGAGGTTACGGTCTTCGTCAGATTCTCCCCCAAAGAGCCGTAAAATGTGAAAACGACTGAACAATATCGCGTCAGCTTCTCATTTTATCCGATGTAATTTTAGTTGGTGTTGGGATCCAAATTTGCAGCTGAGCAAAGAGACTAAGACAAAGCAAGTCCTCTTCCGCCCTTCCTCTAAAACTGGATGCTTTTTTCATCCATTCCTCATTTGCATCATCAAATGTAGTAACATTCAGCAGAACCAGAGACGAGAAACTGGAGTGGGAGCAGCAAGGCTTCCATCAAACAGAAAGATTAGTCAACTCAATATGTTCAGACGGATGATGCTGTACTTGATTTCTACAAAAAGAGATCCCAAAACTTTGGTCTTGCCTGGAAACACCCAACAGGGATACTTTCCTCTTGTTTACCAGCAATTGGAAGAAACTGTACCATTTAATGAGTAAAGAATATATATTCTGTAGCTTCTCAGCGGCATTTGCATCTGCTGATATATATTACAAGGTTGACCCTTGGCACTGAAAATAGATGAGCAATACTTGACAGAAACAAAGCTTCGAGTGCACAAGTCTTCTTTCAGGAGGTACACTGGGTACAATTATTAAGTAAGGGAGTGTCATATAGAAGTAAGATTTTGCTCAGTTACTAGTTAATGGCAAGTTTTGATTGTTCTGACTTGGAAAGTTTGCTTGTTGGTTTATGTATGTATTTATTTAAGTTCAGAATTCATACCTAACAGAGTAGAGGCAGCAGGTGTGTGAATCCCGCTTTACCCTTTGCTGAAACAGTCACTTCACATACTTTTTAGTTTCAAGACACTTTTCTGTCTCCGCACAATTAATATTCACCTTTTTTTTTTCTTGGCCAATATAAGAAATGTGCCTGTTGCCCAAGGAGAAGAAGTGGGTAACATCCATAAATTCATTTTAGTATTTGGATTGGATAGATTATTGACAGTCCAGTCACCCTCTGTCTAAATTAAGCAAAATGTCAAGATGTGACACTTATTGCATGGCAAACGCAGAAGGAAATTTTGCTTAAATATGCAACTATTATTTACATATTAAACAGAAAGAAGGGCCGTGGTGGTGCATCGGGTTAAACCACTGAGCTGCAGAACTTGCTGAACAGAAAGTCAGTGGTTCAAATCCATGGGCGGGGTGAGCTCCTGCTGTTAGTCCCAGCTTCTGCCAACCTAGCAGTTCGAAAACATGCAAATATGAGTAGATCAATAGGAACCGCTCCACTGGGAAGGTAAAGGCGCTCCATGTAGTCATGCTGGCCACAAGACCTTGGAGGTGTCTACAGACAAAGCCAGCTCTTCGGCTTAGGAATGGAGATGAGCACCACCCCCTAGAGTTGGACACGACTAGACTTAATGTCAAGGGGAAACCTTTACTTTCAACAGAAATTTGTTGAAATGGAGAAGAAGGGTGGGTAATCTGAACATTTATGCACCCGTTAGGTGTACTTATTCTATTTGAAATAGTGCTTTTTCATTCAGAAGAGAGAAGGAAGCTGTGAAAATTTTTATTTTCACAGCATTTCTGCATTCAGATTTATATGGCATCATATATGAATTTTCAAACAATTTCTGTAATGTTTCTGCAAGTAGTTCTAAACATAATCCTTGTGTTTATTATATTAACTGCATATTTATTTCCTGTTCAAAAGTCTACATTATTCCAGAACATAACAAATGTGCATCTGTGCATCGTGTGCTTTATTCAGAAGCACTGGCAACAAAAGAGATCCAAGACGTTGTGTCACAATGCATGTAAAAATGGCCCATTAAGCAAACTGCACGTCATGTTTCCTATCTGAAAATGGTTAGCACTTTAATTCAAATCTGAGTGGATGTTAATTCCTGATGTGTATGTCATATGTTGAATCACATTCTCCTTCCAAATGCTCAAATTAAGATTTGAACTGCATCACCATAGACATTTAGCCACATCTTTGCAATAAACACAAAAGCAGCATATATTTGTTGTTGCACATTCCATAGAAATTGCCTTGCCTGTTATATTCACAATTAAATTATCCTTTTTTGTGTAATCGGCAATAATATTTGCAATCACTTAAATGATTGAGGATAGAGGATTTTTCTTCATTCAAAATTGGGGCTATAGCTCAAAGCGTATATTATGCATAAGGTCCCGGTTTCCATTTCCAGCATCTCAAGATGTAAGCTCAGCAGGGCTGCGCAAGACTTCAGAAGTTGCTCTCCAAAATCCAAAACTGTCCACATGGGCAGCTGAAATAATGGCACCTTTGCTTTCTGTTGGCTCAATGTACACAAATTGTATTGCTGCACTTGGACTCATGTAAGCCACTTGGGAGATGGTGGCGGGGTATAAATAATAATAATAATAACAATTATTATTATTATTATTAATTTCATGCACCAAATTATTATTTTTAATGGCATATACATTTACCTTCGGGCTATGTGAATAAATGTATATGAAGTATAAATTAATGCTGTGTTTAGAAATTGGATCCTATCTCCAAAATATCCCATTATGTATATGCAAATATTTATTTATTTATTTATTTATTTATTTATTTAAAACATTTATATTCCACCCTTCTCACCCCGAAGGGCGGAGCACAGCATATACACGGCAAACATTCAATGTCGGGACACAAATTCACATACAATACATAAACATTAAAAAACATTTATCAAAATATTAAAATACACCATTTAAAACCGTCCTAGCCATCTGCATCAAATCTAATTGACCCTGTCATTTTTCCCATTGCCGCTTCATTGCGCTGTCCTGAAAGCTTGGTCCCACAGCCAAGTTTTTACCATCCTTCTAAAGGACAGGGGGGCCGACCTGATCTCACCAGGAAGGGAGTTCCATAGCTGGGGAYCAATCACAGAGAAGGCCCTGTCTCTCGTCCCCACCAATCATGCCTGTGACAATGGCAGGATGGAAAGCAGGGCCTCCCCAGAAGATCTTAATCTCCTCGATGSTTCATAGGGGGAGATGCGTTCGGAAAGGTAATTTGGACCYGGGCCYTTTAGGGCTTTATAGGCCAAAGCCAGCACTTTGAATTGTGCCCGGTAGCAAACTGGRAGCCAGTGGAGCTGGCGTAACATGGGAATTATTAACCTGGCTGCCTCTCGCTGGACTATTTGAAGCTTCCGAGCAGTCTTCAAAGGRAACCCCACGTAGAGTGCATTGCAGTAGTCTATCCTAGATGTAACGAGAGTGTGGACCACCYTGGCCAAGTCTGACTTCCCAAGGTACYGGCGCAGTTGGTGCACAAGTTTTAATTGTGCAAACMCTCCCCTGGCCACTGCTGAAACCTGGGATTCCAGGCTCAGTGATGAATCCAGGAGAACTCCAAAATGAAAACATCTAAAATCCAAAATATTTCTGGTCCCAACATTTTGGATAAGATTCAACCTTCACTAGCCTTTGATGAAGCATCACATTGCCACTGTATTCTTCGCATTAAGCTGGCATTGTGAGTTGTAGTGCCCATTCATTTCCAAGTAGCATTATTAACTGGAGTGGCATGTGGTTGGACTGGGGGGCCCTTGTGGTATCCTCCAATTCTATGATGCTATGATTCTAAGTATTCTTGAAATAAATCTGTCTTCAAAAATTATTTTGCTAGTTTAAATATATATTTAAAAGGGTGCACAGCTATGTTTTCTATTTCTAGGACTAATCATTGTGAAGTCATAACATGGGTACAGCCAGTCCAAAGAGTATAGGAGCAGGCCTCGTCTTTTAAAATCTTGACATTCTGCTCCATGGTTGCCTCATATTTAATATGATTGATGCTTCCATGCGTTGCCACGGGGGACATATGAGATGCAGCTGGGACCTGCTAATACAGGTCTACATGATCCATGCTTCTTGGAGTAGTAGACATTCTGCGTAGACATCCAAACTGCTGCTGGCCGCTTTAACTAGAATCGCTTTTGGCAGAAGTATAGTGCTGGGCAAACCGCATTATTGAAGAGTGAATTTGAACTTGGTTTGACAAACGCTCTGGATTTTCTGACCCACTACTCTATGCAAAATTTGCCCCAATTACACTTGTGACACATCCAGTGTCAGGAGCCTGTGTCTAACAGCAGCATGTGTAAATCCATCCAAAACTAACCTCACAAGTCAATTTTCCCTCATCTTTAGCAAAACTGTTATAGCTTACAATTAGCAACTTTTTGTTATCTAAATTAGCAAACGGTGTACATAAATTGTTGCATTTTTAATTTTACTTTGAAAATACACACATACACAGAGAATGTCCAATAGTTGTTTTTTAAATGTCTGTGTACAGTTGCCTATACAATAAAATACACATTTTCTTGCACTTTAGCAAATTTAAAAGTATCATTACTGGTAAATCTTGTAAATAGCATGTCTCAGTTGGAAAAAAAATGTTTATTAAATCTTCTTTAAGATTTTATTTTGGTTGGCAGTGTTTCATTAAATTGTCTAGCTAGTAAGTGTACATGTTGATTTTTGATGACAGCAGCAGCCTTCCGTGTATACATGTGCCATCACATGGGATTTAAAATGTCAATTGTAAGAGATTCTCCAACACTGAGCTGAGTGGGTTACCATATGGACATACCTTCATAAATCCATGCCTCTGTCAGGAAATCGAGGATATAGTGCTGCCTAAATAATATGAATACCAACATCAACAGAGTGCGGATAACAGATTTTTTAAAGACCAAAGTATTGTTTACATTAATAATACCTCTTTCGAATCAAGTTCTGGCTGTCTAGACAATGCACAGACACTTGTGGTAAGTATCCCTTAACCCAACTTTGCTCTGCTTCAAATAAAGTTGGGATAGTCCTGAGTTGGCAGGAAACTTTGGTTTTGCAGCCATCTGAACAGCTAGATGACTCCAGTGCAATGAAGAGGATGGATCATTCTGTGTTGCTGCTGCTGCTCCCTGTGGACCACATAGCTCCCTGTGAGGACCTGGCTGTCATAGTTTATTTACTAAGGTCAGAATAGGACATTCATGGAATCAGGAAGGAGTGAGTTGCTCTGCCCCTCATTGCTGGTTGTGTGAGCACCCACCCCATTTTGACCTCAACAAATGTAACCTTGATGGCCAGTCATAGAATCAGAGAATCATAGAGTTGGGATAGACCTCATGGGCTATCCAGTCCAACCCCCTGCCAAGAAGCAGGAAATTTGCATTCAAAGCACTCCCAACAGATGGCTATCCAACCTCTGTTTAAAAGCCTCCAAAAAAGGAGTTTCTACCACTTTCCGGGGCAGAGAGTTCCATTGCTGAGCAGCTCTCACAATCAGGAAGTTCTTCCTAATGTTCAGATGGAATCTCCTTTCGTGTAGTTTGAAGCCATTGTTCCACAACCTAGTCTCCAGGACAGCAGAAAGCAAATTCGCTCCCTTCTCCCTATGACTTCCTCTCACATATTTATAAATGGCTATCATGTCTCCTCTCAGCCTTTTCTTCTTCAGGCTAAAAAATGCCCAGCTCTTAAAGCTGTTCCTCATAGGGCTTGTTCTCCAGACTCTTGATCATTTTAGTCACCCTCCTCAAGACACATTCCAGCTTGTCAATATCTCTATTCAATTGTGGTGCCCAGTCAGGGATATCCATTGGGCTCTCAGACCAACTGGATCCCAACACGGTACCAATGAGGGTTCAGCCCAATACATCTGGCCACCATCACAGTCATTCCAGGATCAATCCAGATTACTTACTTAGGCAATCCCTCATTGGCCGAGTATGATAGTCTTCCAGGATCAGTATTCTGGTGGGTCTGCAGGTGACTGTGGAGTCCTATTCTTGATCTGCATCTTCTCCCGCAGTGAGGGCATTGGTTTCCAGGTGGAAGGCGGTCCCGGTCGAGTTGCCTTGATGTGCCTTCCTCTTGGCATGTTTCTCTCTTTCGCCCTCCATTTGTGCCTCTTCAAATTCTACAGCAATGCTGGTCACAGCTGATCTCCAGCTGGAGTGCTCAAGGGCCAG